ACTTGAGTCACTCCTTTGTGCAACACGCTCTCGACAAGAGCCCGCGAGCGTGATAACATAGTACACGCGCCGACACCCCAAACACTACAACGCACCTTGTGGAACTTCATTTGTTTGAAGCGTCAATGCTCTTGTTGTGCTCCCTCCAGTAGCGCCGTTTGATCCATTCATTATATCCTTTCCAAGTCTCGTTTCGAACCCTGGCGTCGTCCGAGTATATGCCATAGTTGTCCGTGGGGTCCACCGCCTTGACCTTCGTCAAGTACCTACAAGAAGTGACAATTGCAGTGGCGCGGGAGAGGGAGAGAGGGATGAGTATCAAGCGTCCACCGGCAGCCCCCGCTGTGCAATACCGGAACGGTCTCTTCTATTGAGAAGACAAAAACAACCCTAACGACCACAACCACAACAACAACAACGACATCCGCGTATTAATTTTATTGTTCAGACACACACGGACCGGAGTCTTTGCACGGCGAGTGCGTTTTTAATTAGGCCCAGAATATATTTTAACCTTTACGCACAGGAACTGGCAACTTCGCAAGGATCGGCACCTTGGCACCTCTGTGCCATCCAAATATTATGACGCTTTTCTTACAGTTAGCTTTCTGCCTCCTCGTAAGTGAGTTAAAATCTTGGTGTAGTCACGCGAACCGGGGAAGTTCCTAACTGAACGCTCGAACACGTCGTCACCCATGCCCTGCAAAATTCTAACCTGCATCATGCGTTGAACAGCATCATTCGACGCTTGACTGGCTGTACCCTAGGCGACTTGATTGCCCATTGTAGATGAGTCCGGGGCCGTCGTGCCGTAGGTAGGGTTAAGGTCCGAGGGTTTGGCCAGGCCCACTCGAGAGGGATACGTCCGTGTATGGCGATTTTAGTCACCGTCGTCACGACACCGGTGAGGAAGCAAGGTGCTGTTTCATGCCAGACTGCAAGCGAAGGCTTCGCAACCAAACCCGGAGTGATCAGCGTCGGGCAAAAGTCCCACCGCATCAGGATCGGCAATGGCTTCCCCTTCTTGGCAGTACCAAACACTACGTCCATCATGAACGTTGTGTCGCAACCTCTCAGCCCAGCTTGCACCACCGCAACATGTACATGGGTTTTCATACCCAATCCCCCCAAAAATACGTGCTGCCAAAGAAGTGCTTCCCGCATAGCTGTATTGCGCTCGGGAGGCGAGGATCCCGGCCAGTCAGCATACCTTTCCGGAGTGTACCAAGAAGACATCTCCGAACACAAACTCGGGTTTCGGCCTGACGACAATCAAAAAGAAAACGGACGTTGTTCGCTGTCAGCATCCATCACTAACACACAGCCGGTCTTCTGCCACATTTAGGATTGAGCACGCACGCGTACATCGAGCAGATTTCCTATTGGCGTCCTTTGAGGCATCGAGGCAGGTGCTCAGACATGCAGATACCTGCAGCTTATTATTGTGTGTTTCGTCCTACCATTTATTATGGCCACAGTCCTCCTGACGTTGTGGCCAAGGTGAGACGTAGGTAACTTTAGCTGTTATATCACCCATCGAGGACAACGGCATAACCACCGCCGGTGCTGCAGGGTTACAACTGTGTTGGTTGAGCTTGGCGGTGGTAGTCATCCTCGCGGTAACCGGTATTCCCGAGATAAGTACAAAAAAAACTGAACCCACAGCACCACCAGTCGAACGGATGTGTTCAAGTCTACCTGGTATACAGCAGTGAGTGAGTGCAAGAACTACTGCGTGCAAGGAGGTTGCATGATATATGTCACACCGTCTGAGCAGGTCTTGGTCGTGGAGTTATCGACCTTTTAAAACCGGTCCAAGGGGGTGTGTTAACTTGTGCAACGTCGGTACTTCTCCTCCTGCTCGTGGGCTGAAGGATGGATACATACTCCTCAGCCTCACTGCGGCTGAACAGGACAAAACACATGACCTGGGACCTCGGGAGGGGGCGTCATGGGGGAACTGACCGAGATATTCTACCGGATTGTAACATATCCCGTAGGAAGATATGCTGAAAACTCACGTGTCTCCCAAGCAAGGCTCGCTTGTGACTGGAGCAGGGCAGAGTGGCAGCAAGCGGCACCAACACACCAACAACATGTAGCGTACTACTGTAATAGATAGTTAGTTGTACAAAGCAGACATGAAGAGTAAAAAAAAACTGGGCAGACGGACACACATACATACATACCGAGAGAGCGGGTACCGGCAGGGCCACCAATACCACTGGCAGGTGTTTATTGATGATGGTCCTGACACCCTGTAGTGTGTCTGTAGTGTGTGGTACATTTTAACCTGCTGCTGGGATGGTACACGTTCGCGTGGCGAACAGCAGTGCCTCCATAAAAAAAAATCTTTGCCATCTGCTCTCTGTGTGATTTTTGTTACGCCGTCTGCAGCCCTTCGTCCATACCGCCGGCATCTCCCTACTGATCTACCCAATCGCGTTTCAGTTGGGACGTGTGTGATGTTAGGGCTATTGACAAGTTCCGTCGTGTTGCGTGTTGATCCTCTCTCCGTGTGTGTTGGGCGTGTTGGCGGCTGGCGGAGCTGGCGGTGACTCTTTCTTGGTGAGCGAGCTGTCTGTCCTTCCTGCGTGATTTTTGCATTTTTGCTACATACATACTCAGCCTGCTGCCCTCGGTCCTACCGCCGGCTTCTTCCTTGCTGATCCACCCAAATACGTGCCGCGTGTAGCTGAGTTGGGATATGTGTGATGTGAGGGGTAGTGACAAGTTCTGTCGCGTTGTATGTTTGAAGCTCTCTCCGTGTGGGTTGGGTGTGTTGGGTAGCTGGCGGAGCTGGTGGTGGCCATGCATGATGTATGTAGTGATGATGGATGATGACGATCCGCAAAAAAATGTCGGTTTGTTGTTATGAGGCCGAGGTGCTGCCTACAGACGCCAAACCAACGGCGACACGTCTACCAAGTACTACAGCATGCACACACCAGTGTAGGGGCTTACCTGTGCCCGTTTGGAGCGGCGTCCGATGAGGAAAGATTTTGGGGCGATCGATCGTTTTGTGTCGCCGGCCGTGACGTGTTCGATTTGGTTTTCGGAATCAAATCGACAGTTTCGCGTCGGTTCGGGACCGTTCCTCAACGCGAAGTCCAGTTCTGAACGCGAAGTCTAAGTTTTCCCGGTTATGAGAGCAAAAAGAGGTTGTTCTAGTTTGTAAGCAATTTGACGGTGTATGGGCAGGGGGAGTACTCCCTGTGTCCATGTTGTACCCAGGTGTCGTCGCATCAATTGTCGCATCAGTTGGCAGCACGTGTCATGGACAGGTAGACGTGGAATGGCGGCGACAGGTGAAGGCAGCTGCAGTATGCATGGTGTAGTCCATCCTTCGACAACACACAACGGAGCGCAGTCCATCCTTCAACCACACATAATTTTGTCTGACCATTTTGTCTGACCAAAACGAAACAATTTGCCGAAACTCCCCAATAAGTGCAACAAGGGTATAATAGAGGGAATCCACGTGTTGTTGAAATGACGTGAAAGATTGACATTTCAGGAAGTTTTGACGTGAAGAGGTTGCGCCGCTTTTTTGGGGGCAAACTCTGACGGCGAAATTTTTGTGAGGAAGCGTCAAAATTAAATTTCACCCAAACTTAAACCGACGCGAAAAGATTGACGCTTCAAACATCGCAAGACTGTGGTTCATCATCACACACGCTTGCTCTGCTGCGGTCTGCTGTGCGCGGTCAGCAGCGAACACATTGGCCATGCCTATACTGATTGCTCCTAGCGGTCCTGCACCCACCACGCGTCTCGGCAGTTCTCACGGCGGCCAAGTGGCCAGACGCGCGTGTTCGGCGCGCGCGTTCGGTAGATGCGCCGTCGCGATTGCGCACGGGCTTTCAGCAGCAAAAAGGGGCATAGGCAGGGGAGTGATTGGGGGAGTCTCGCCCTCGAAGGGAGCACATGGAGAGGAGTAAGGGAGGGTACACGGACTTTGCCAGTCAGTAGGTGCATTTCGCCCGCCCCCTCACGGGGTTCGGTGCTCTGCTGCCGCAGTGACATCGGTATATACACAGCAGTGCAGCGAGCAGCTGCCTTACTCATCAGCAACGAACGGCAGTTTGACGCCTGGGAAGTCGCAGTTTGACGCCTGGGAAAAGTCGCCGCGGCAAAGGAGGGAAGGTCGGCGGGATGAGGCGAAGGGGTACACCTAGTCTCCTGGGAGCCTGGGGGTGTGAGTCTTCGCTTCGGAATGTCGACCCAGGGTGGCAGCCCGAACCAACCTTGAACTCTACCTCCACCATTTTTTTTTTTTCACCTCTCACGTGTCAACGGGCACACGCGGTGCGAATTTTTTCCCGTCAAAACCCTCAACCGTCACTTTATGTTGGCGTCAATCCTCAAAGGTCAAAATTCCGCGTCAATCCATAGTGGATACCCTATAATATGTCAATTATTGTTGGTTGCATTCTCTCGCACCTATAGCTCGCGCATCCCTTCGCGCGTACACCCGAGACTCGGGACGCTCAGAGAGACCCTTACCACGCCAGTGTTCTGATGTGATCACATGAAACGGTGCAGCCACTGTGTCATACCGGTGCTGTCACATGGCCTGTGTGTGTTCTCATTCTGGCTCTGTGTCAGCGCTGGAGACCGGCATGCCGCACAAAACCATGTGTGAATCGGCACCCCGCACTCAACTCGCACTTCTAGAGCTCACGCATCTTTCCGCGTCAACACCCAAGTCACAGTATTTCCAGAGAGATGCTTTCCAAACCATGGTCCTCGTGATCTTGGTTAACACGGCGCAGACAACGTGTCACACCGGTGCTGCAGCGGGCTGTGTATCCGATCGTCCCAATTGGCCGTTGGTTCTTGTTCTTTTGTTCTGGCCTCTTTGGTGGTGGCGGACCGCATACCGTTGCAACTCACAACATGCACATTCCGCACACAAATATGTTTGAACTCTAAAAGCTACACGTGCTGCGTTGCTGTGCACCCTCTCTCCTGACGCCGCGTGAGTGTTTCATCACTCTGCTCCTCTCCTGACACCTCCAGCATGACATTGCTCGACTGCGACTGCTGGTTACTGCATGTGCGAGGCTGGCTGGTTCAAAGGCAGCAGATATATGTAGACATATGTGGCTCCTCTCTCCAGGAATCGTGAAGCATGTTCTCTTCTGCCTTTATGTCATCTCTCTCAAGTTTGTCCTGCACTCTCTCAGCAGTGTACTTTGTAGTTGTATTGTGTTGTTGGACCCACTCAGCCATAACATATCGCTAGAGGCACCTTTGGTGCATGACCATGCCCACGGCAAAGGTCGTAGTGGCTCAGTCCCTGCTGTTTGTGATAGCTGGCCTCGGATTTGTGGAGCATCAAGTTGTCGGAGCATCCGTTCGAGGTGGTCGCTGCCTGTGTTCGCTGCCCTAGCAAATTGTGCCGGGAAATTATCCGAGATCTGCTTGCCAAATTTACCGACAACTTTCGGCAATATTTGTTTCGGAGGAACTTTTCATACCCCGAACTGCTCGTCATCAGCCGAATTCCGTCCCGAGCAAATTATGTTGTCACTACTGGAACTATGTATGTATGCATATCTACTGCTGTCCAAACGTCGAAACGAAAGAACCAGTCCGACACAGGCCGGAGCAGCACGACAGAGGGCGTTAGGATGGCGCTGCTGCTGCCTGCCCACTGTCCTCATTTCGTGAGTATCTACCTGACCTAGACCAATGGCAATGCAACCGAAGACATCAGCGGCCAGCAATCATAACGGCGGTGACCGCACGGATGCGTGTTTTTTTCGTTTCCCCGAAAGAAGCGGATGCGGGAACCTCTCTCGCCACGTTGTTTGCGCACACACGCATCCAGCTCTACTTCGAAGGAACCCGCCCCGAGGAAGGCAGGAGGAGTGCTCACGTCTAGAGACTCGCCATATGCATGTTTGTTTGTGCGTGCTGTGGAGGCGTGTACAGCAGCAGTGCAAGGTGAGGGTGTGTGTGTCCTTGGCGGAGGAAGCCTACACATGGACGAGTCGGCCCTCTCAAAAATCGGCAAACTTGCGGGCGGGTTGCTTCTCTCTCGGCGGGGACCCAAACCCACTGCCAAGCTGCTAAGCTAAGGTTGTACCTCTATTTCATGTGCTCACCGCCACAGAAGGTCGCCTGAGGCCGTTTCGAGCTGCTCCCGACCACGCGCGTTTCAAGACAGGAGTTGTGCAAGGCCGCTCCGCCCTCTCCGCATCTCCGCGGAGGTTGTTGTAAATCAAATAAATTCCGAATATATGGTGGGGGGTTTTAATTGCCGATCCCGGACATTGTTCACACCGAAGTTAAATAATTATAACCGGACGTGTAACAATTCCTGGTTTACCGTAATAATAGTCGGAGAGTTGGCAACCGGTGCGATCGTTTTATTAAATGTTTTTTCCTCGTTTTTTTTATCGCACCCCAGTGCCATCTCTCCGACCCCGGTGCGGAACTGCAATGAAATCATTTCGTTTGGAATTTTCAAGGCATCCCGGTGCGATCTCTCCGACCGGTGCGATCCCCGATGAAAAAAATACACACAACAGATGTTGCACCCCGGTGTGATCTCTCCGACCGGTGCGATCCCGGATGAAATT